CATACTAGTAGGCTATATAGGTTAGGTTATCTAGAATTTAATTTAATTTTATGTTCTCCCATTGTCATTATAATTTTTACTATGGCGAAACATCGAAATATCTTGGTGACTGGAATTTGATCGCAACCTGTAGGTCGGGAGACAAACCTGGTACGACCTGGCTGCTATATGTTTAAAAGTCGGTTAACGACAATAACAATATTATTAATTATTATATACACTCACTGAATCGCAAGGAGAATGCTTCCTTACAGGTTTTTGGCCACCGGCAATGCTCGATGCCATCGTCGTAGTACTCCTGCTGGTCGTCGTAGTCGTCCACGTGGCCAATACCTCGCACACGGCCTGCGCCTCCGGTGGTACGTGGGCCTGCGCTTCCGGTCTGCGCGTAACCCGGCGGCATGGCCCTGCGCCGCCCTTCGTACCGGCATCTGCTGCTGGTACCGCGGATAGAACGGTCGCTGCTGTTGCTGCTGCTGCTGCTGCCGCTGTTGCTGTGGCTGCAGCTGTTGTTGCTGTTGCTGTTGCTGCTGCTGCCGGCGGTCGTCGTGGACGTAGTGGTCGTTGGCAGTGTCGTCGTTTCGGCGGCTTTATACAGTGCGTCATTTCTGCGTACATATTTTCATCGTTCGATTTTTAATCTGAAATTGTAAAGACGTGTTTAAGAAATGTTGCAAATCAAACAAATAAATACCAATTTTGATACAGGTAGGTACAATATTTTCGCACTTCGATGCGCAAGACGACGGAACGATACGGACAATCGTTGTGCCGACGATAGTGCAGATCATTACAATATTATCGTATAAAATCGTATGAGGAGTACGCGACGAGTCGGTTTATAAATAATTATTGTATAGGTTTATGACGTATATATATATATATATATATATATTATATATTGTGCGTAGGTTCAGTGGCTCTGTGCTCGGAGGTTATACATTATTATTATATGTTATATTTTATATTATTATATATTGTATTTTAATATGGCGACGAATTTTTCTAGCAAGACGACGACGTGAAAAAAAAAGTTTATTATTGTAATGAATTATTTTTTTAAGTATGATTATCGTCGTGCGTCGGACATGCGTTATATTATACACATTATAAAATGATAGACATAAACGAAATATTATATTATTATTATTATTATTATTATCATATACTTATATAGGTATACAACGCGATAAGTATACATTATGATTTTGTGTAATTAATAAATAACATTAATTTTATTATACTATATATAGGTACGTATAGCGTGCGTGTTTGTTTACTCGTTTTTTGTTATACGTCCAATCAGCCGTCTTTCTCGGTACGATCGTGTCGTTCTTAAGCCTACACAGCAGCGCCCGCCCTGGCAAAAACATTTTTCGACTTTTGAACGATTTTTAAACCGTCGAATTATAGATTTATGGGCACTGCCTATACCATACGGTTTTTGTTTACCGAGGAAACGGCTAGACAAACGTTCAATACTATTACCGTGGGTGTTAACGAATTGCCTCGCCCGTGAATATTTTTTTAAAAAGGTAAATTGAATAGCCGATTTTCAAAATATCGTTCACTCAAATTGCCTCCTGTTTTAGGCAGTGACCTCCTTGTACAGGTACTAGATACATAGAATCATTTCCGGTAACTATTATTAATCGATTTAGGTGTCGGTGTCGGTGTCCGTTGTTTAATGTCATTATTATAGCTATGTTTTTTTGAAAATCAAACTTGAAACCATCACGAATTAAAACTGTTTTGATTTTTTCGTTAATGTCGTTCATTTTTGATTTTTACAAAACTCTACATATTAAACTATAAACGTGTTATTTATGGTAACGATTAAGCAAACGAGACTGAGAACTGATTTTGTTGAACTGATGATGATGCACTAATCTTTGACTGATAATGAGTAATCAAAAGGATTGTTGCATTCGACAAATTATTTGGTCAGAGAAATATTGTATGTCTTAAAAATAATATTTTTGGACATCACGGAAATCGATATAATAATCATTAGTACACGTACAACTAGGTATGCTATGGGAGACAATTCGGGTAGACTGTCTGGGTATATTTGAATTGTCTCGGAAAATACTCTGAGACAATTCGAGTGAATAATGGTCATCTATCTAAATTTGGGAGGCAATTCGAGCGTCACCGCAAATACAAGTACGTGCAAAAATGGTGACTGAACACGTGAGGTCAAAATATGATGGATTATGCTCAGTAGAAATTATTAAGCATCGTGCACCTAGTCCATCAACGTGTTTAACTTTAACTTACTACGGTTATTGGCCACGTTATTGGAAAAAAACAATTTTAATAAAAAATAAAAGTACACATACCGACATAGGTACGTTAAATCTAATATCACTTACCTGTCTCTATATCTATAGTATCTACTCTCAGATTTATAAAATAAGTAGATCGTAGATAACTTTAAACTTATATAAAGTTACTTTATATATCTGTGTAGGTAGGTACGTATATTTACTATAGTTTTTGTAATACGCAGTGCCGGATCTAACATTTTTTTAACCCGGGGCAAAATGTGAAATTGGCGCCCTTCTATATCAGTAACCTTTTTTTTTTTTTACTTATTACATAATTAAAAATTTGCGCTCCTTATGATTAGTATCCGGGGCACGTGCCCCGGATTGTCCCCCCTCCCCTAGATCCGGTGCTGGTAATACGATTAGCAACGCAATTGATTTTATTGAGTTGAATTTCAAAAGTGTAATCTATTAATCTACAGTTATCAGTTAGTACGAATTAAGTGTTAAGACTCCAAATATACTGAATCGTGCTGAAAAGTTATTAAAATATTTAAAGAAAAGAAGATAATTTCTAAACGTATACAATTTGTATTAAAACTAATGAGGAAACTGTAATCTGCACTGTACAACGAAGTACTATGTAATAACAAAGATTTAAAAATAGACAAACTCTAACAATACAGCTGTTCATGAAGGTAGTCGCAAATTTCCAGTGACACAACTAGGCTTAAACCTACCCCTTGTCTATGATTTATCTCCTTAAAATATCCTTTATTGATTTTAAATAATTAAATAATACATGAAAAATTGTATTTTTTCACTTGGAAAAAAAGAAATAAATATTTCCAAATTTATACAAACTCCTTGGTTTTGGTCATATTTTGCCAACAAATAGTGCATCTTATGAAAGATCGTTTTCTGCGATGAAGCATTGAGATAGAGGGCTGACTGGGCTGATGCGAGTCAAAAGTCAAAACATGGTCACGATTCACGGTCAATATGAAACAAGAATGGTTTTAAATTTATCCATAATTCGTATTGAGAGAGATTTATTAAACGTTATTGACAGGGAAGAAATTTTTAAACAATTTTGAAAGCGCTAATGATAAAAAAATACAAATAATGTATTAAAATGTTGCATAATTTAAAAATAACTGATTTTATTTTTTCTTACCTACCCTTATATTACATTATATTACAGGTAAACAATAAATTTAGTTATAATAGTAATATATTTTCATGGTTGGCTTATATTGCTCATGATAATGTCACATAGATACTGAAAGAAAACAAATTGTCGTACATCTACTTAATATTTTCTTGGTTTGGAGTATAAAATGTGTTGTGATTGTATGTAGAGAAGAGCGGATGATAGCCTCCTATGGGATATTTTAAGTTCATAGTTTTGTTGGTAAGCCTCCCCAGAATTTTAATTATAATTACGCTTATGCACACTTCAATAGTGAATAAAAATTACTTTTGCTAACAAGGGCGGCTTTAAAAATTTGCCGCCCCTATGCCAAAAAAAAATTTACCGTCCTTATTTAAAAAAAGTCACCTCTGTACAACAACATTTTCTTACATGATAACATTTTCTACCTATATATTATGCAATTATTTTTTTAATTTAACAAATAAAAAACGTCCTGATTCAAATATAGTATTTTCTCTTTATTCTTATTATACAAGAAAAAAATAATAAATTTATTAAATAATTATTTGGTAATACGAGTAGTTTTAATGTTAATTATTTAATTTGAAATTGAAAAATTTAAGAAAAAAATTAAGTATTTTTCTATAGGTAGGTACAAGAATAAAATAAATATTAAATACAATTTTACTGCGTATAAAAAGCCGCCTTCCATAAATTTGCCGCCCTATGCGGCTGCATAGTTTGCAGTGCCTTAAATCCACCCCTGTTTGCCTACTTAGAAATAAACTAGGTAATAAAATTCAGATATTAAATAACTTCAATCAATAATTCTACTATATTAAAATAAAAGTTAGTTGTCTATGGTTTTTTTTTTTTTAATTATACATTAATATACAATGGTTAAGATTTAAGATTAACACATCTGTCAAAGTGACATACTCATTGATTGAGTACACTCGATATCTACAACACAGCAGAGCTAGGAAGTTTCAGGTTTTTTAATCTAAAAAGTTAAATTCACAACAAAATTAATTATTGTTCAATGTAAAATATTCCTATTTGTTGGCATTTAATTAAACACAATTTTTATCTTCACACAAATTTACATAATTACATAGGTTTAAATTTTTGAAATGCGATAGTACAGTTATTGCATTCAGAAACATAATAATAACAATAAAAAAAAAAAAAAAAATTAATAATAAATAAAAAATAAAAAAAAATAATAATAATAATAAAAGGCTTGCTAGTAAAATTTATTCTAGATTTATATTAATAATTACTAAATTTCTGTCAAGCATTAAACATTTAAAAAAATAATAATAATAATTAAAAATTTAAATAATGTAGTAAATTTGTTATACAACTATATTCATTACTTATTAAATGTTGACATACAGTTGCACACTGAAGTGAGAATTATGAATTACAAGGAATATCATTAAAAAAATCACATTTACATATTATGGTTATTGTTGTCTTTTTATGTATGTATTAATACTAAATTTTGACTTATCCATTTCAAATAGATAAGCAATATTAAGTATTATTACTTTTTAATAATGAAAGGGATTTATACATGTATATTGTACAAAATATAAGAATTAAAAAATCTGCTTTGCAATAATAAATCCAGTTATTTTTCCACAGAATATTAATGTTTATACATTAAAAAAAATAATTTCTTTTGATATTTTCCAGTTAATAATAAAATGTAAGTCTCAAATCAACCTTAAGATTTCATAGTTAAAAAAAAAAAACTACTTAAAAATGATCTTCACCAGCTCATAATTTTAAAATGCACTCCACTAGGTGTTATACATAGTAATAAAATTGCTTCATTTTCAATTTTCTAAAACATTCTATTGACTTTCGAGTATATAGTTTGTTTTGAAAATTTGTAACTTTAAAATTTTCACTTTGATATAAAAATAACAATATAACATGAATTAATCTTTGTCTTTTCCGTTGTAGACATCCCAAAGAGTGATTTTGTTATCTTTATTAGCAATAGCCAACAAGTATTTGGCTTTCCAAAATGTCACTGACAATTCGGAATATGCAATATTTAAGACTCCAGATGAATGAGAATCTAAAACTGCTAATAGTTTCATGGTTTTCCAAGAAAATAGTCTTACAGTTAGATCCCAGCAGGCAGCAGCGACTATTTTATCATCAGGTCTTAGCTGTAAAACATTAACACCAGGATTTGTAATCTTTATGTTTTTATTTATGCTTAAATTACCATCTGTAATACAAAATGTATTTATCACATTTGAACTACCTGCACAAATACCTTTGGTCATATTATGATCCACATCCAGAGCCATTAAACATTCTAGTTCAGGAAAGCTGCACTGATTAATAATATGATCTTCTTGCCACACAACAACTATATTGGCTTCATAACCACAAAATATATAATCACCAATACATTTTACAGTCATCAAATCGCCCAAACTGTTGTCTTGGTGTGGATTAAAATCAGTAATTTTACTATAACTATCAGTAGAATAACAATTCATTGTAGACTTTTCTCCTTTGCACAATAACATGTTTGTTTTGTATAAGGCAAATTTACAAAAACCAATTATTTGGGTTGAAAAAGTATGATAGAGTTTGAGTTCGATACCATCTATTTGCCAACATTTTATTTCGCCCACTTTGTCTTGTGACACCAAATGATTTTGTTTGGTCAACAGTTCAAGGTTCATTATACACACTGTGCCGACTTTAATTTCATTTTTTAAACGGTTTGACTGGAAACAGAAAAACAAAACTATTATACTAAATACAGTTGCATATACTAAAAGATGATGGATTTATTATCGAAACAATGTAATTGAAAAATGAACATGAAGTTATCGTTTACTATTGTATAATTCGAATAATCAAATCAAAGTGTTATTATTTGAACACCGAAAATCTTACCTCTAGGTTCCAGACAAGAATTTCTCCGCTTAGAGTGCCAACGTAGAGAATTTCGCCATCTAAATAGAATTTCAAGCAGTATGGAGTATATTTTTCACATTTCAACGTGAAAATAGGAGACGGTAATTTTTTTGACATTTTTATCTTTAAAATTATTAGAAGTTTAAATCAATTTGATTTTTCCCGATTAACTAACAGCAAGAAATTGTTTAATATTATTTACACTTCGGGATTTTCAAATAAGTAATAAGTAATAACCGAATATTAGTTATTAGTTATTACTTATTAGTTATTACCGTTAACCAACACTGACTGAGGAAGATATAGAGAATCCTCTTATCAACTACACCGATAAAAAATAAAAATCTTGGTCCTTAGATTATAATATTATGGTATTTATAGATATGATTATGATTATCTGTCTGTCTCTATAATATGAGATAATTAACATGAACTACTCAGTACTCACGCATACGTCATACAGTAGTTCACATCTCAAATTTGAAATTCAAAACTTTTAACTTATTTGTTGTAGATTTCGTAGTGTTGTATTTTTTCGTTTATGTAATGACTTTTTGAAGCGTATTTAAACACAATTATTTAGTTATATTATTAACGTTTATTTGTTTGAATCTTGAATCACGAATTAAGATGTAGATACTAAATACATTAATTCGTAATTTAAATACTTATTACATATCAATAACTGTTTATCAAATATTCAAATTTTGACATGATTTTAGTTTAACCAACACCGCTTGGCACTTGACTTTTTCTTGATTATACGTGGGTAGAATCATAAATAATTGTTTTAAATACGGTTTCAGTATTTACCTCAAGCTTCTACGATTTGATGTTTGCCAATTTAGGTTACATTTAGTTTTTATTTTTTTAATTAAGTAAGCTATTACTGCATATGGAGGCTAAGCTAATAATTTAAATTCTTAAGTTAAAATCTGATAATAATAAAAATTTAAATTTAACATACAACACTGTAATACTTAACAAAGCTCCCACGAGTCCATGCATCATGCATTTATTTTAATTTGCTATACCTTTGTCATTTCTTTTTTTTTATGTAGGTATTGCATTTTAGTTAAAAATTAATAGTCTATAACAATTTATTTTGCCACTTTATACATATCTGTATTTATTTGTTAATTGTTATGTGTGTTTAATACCCGTTATATTTTTCTTAATCAATCAAGATTTCTTTTTTTATATTTTAAATTAGAATAATATTATTTCTTTATAATATTTTTAGTTTTATTGTTTTTATATTTTTATTAAAATTAAGAACACAATCAATCCAATTTTTGAATATTCTGTTGTAAATAATCACACAATAAATATTTAAATATTAATTTCACAAACAAAAGCAGATGTTCATTTATCCTTAAATTTCTTTACTTTGCCTTAACCAATCAACTAGTTTTTATTTTTAAATTATTACAAATATTTGAATAATAGTGGTAGTAAATAACTTGCTGTAAAAAATAAATAATTACGTACTGTAATATCATCTATTGATCTATTCAAAATAAATTTATCATCAATCAAAATGTTGTAGTTAAATTATAACACTATGCAATACGTATATATTCTGCAATAGGTACTTAACACTTAATTTCGACTAATAGGATTAAGAATATTATGTTCATATGAACTGTGACATAGGAATTATATTTTGAAATTAAATTAAAATTTTAAAACATATAAATACTATGAAACAAAAAAATACACTCTAATGAGGTACCCCAGACTTTCAATGGATAGATCATAGATGATATCATAATGAATCCTCTACAAATATTTAACAAATATTTTTGACAAAGCTCAGACATAATAACATAACAAAAATTGCCTAATTTCGTAAAAATTCAAACTATCACAATTCACAAGGATCAAACAAACAGTATTTAATCAAACATAAATATTTTGTTATAAGATCAATGATTAGAATAATTGAAAAATATTTTTTACAGATTTTGGTTAAAACTACTTGTTTGCAATAACTATATCATAAAAATATATAATTAATTTTTTTAAATCAGTAGGTGAGATATATGTTAACTTACTCATTCATCTTCTTTTCTAATACTTTTAAATATGATATAAATTACTTGTTAGTTATAGAAAAAACAGAAAAAGATTTACCATGATTCATATATATTATGAAAAAATGTAATTGTTACAAAATTTAGATACATGAAAATTATAAAGAAACAGCTTAAAAATTATATACAAGAAATATTTAAAACAATATTTTGTTAAATATAATTTGAATTTCAGTTGTTACTTCTGAGCTTCTGATTCAACATTATTATCATTCTCAGCTTTCAACTTACTTAGTCTACCCATTCCAGGCCTATAAATTTCAATAGCTGGGCGATCCTTATTTCTAATGCGACGATCAGTCTTGGATTCTTGACGGCGATTATCTATTCGCTTATTGTAAACAAATTTTTTATCCATATCAGATCGATGCTTTTTATAATTTTCAGTTTCACCAGTTTCAACTGTTTCTTTATCATCATGCCATTTATTATATTTTAATAATACACTTGTTTTGTTATCTGAATATCCTGGTTTCAATGTTTCCGATTTCTTTTTTATATCATTATCTTCTTTAGACATATCCACATTAATTTTTTCAGGTTTAGAAGTAATATCTTCTTTTAAATCATTATCAAAACATTTGGTTGGACTATTTAGCTTGGTTGTTTTAATTTTAAATTCTATTTTTTTAACTTCATCAACTTTAGTTGTATCTTCACTCTTAACTTTATGACTTTCATCACAATGTTTGATTTTTTCAACATTTAATCCTGTATCATCTTTATGACTTTTAATAATTTTTCTATAAAAAAAAAAAAGTACTACAATTAATAAAATAATATAATTTGTTATTATCAACAATTTAACAAAATTTAAATATTAAATTAATATAATTTTTTAAAGTCTAAGACTAAGGTAAGTCTTGAAAACTTAAGTTACATGTTGCGTATAGGTCTTACTAGTTCAAATTTTGTTATAATTCCAAATTGTAATATAATTCCTAGAAATTTAACATTGTTTGAAATTATATATATTATTATTTATATTCATGATTTAAGTTGCAATTTGGTATAAAATAATATCATATAAATTATTATAAAATACATGACTGAATATGAGATTTGTTTTTGGCAAAGTTGTTTTACTATTGTATTACTAACAGAAAAATAAATTATTAATAATGGCTTGGCATGGTGCGTTGGTTACTACCAGTCGTGGAATGCGACTGCGAGTAAGTAACGGCCACAGCTACTAGCTCCCGGATGGGTGACCACTCGGGAGGGTTCATAGTGGTTAAAAACCTTGCCACACATACACGTGTTTGCTATCAACTGTAACAATCGTAAAATACAACCTACCATACCAACCTTACCCCTGACCATAGTTCATAACCCCTACAAACAGCTAATGGCTCTAGTTGTCGGGCTTAAGTTCAATTAAAAAAAAAAAAAAAAAATTATTAATAGCAATATACACTTATGATAAAATAGCTTTAGAAATATATTGATAAATTATCTTTCTTCTGAAATATTTTTCATCAAGTCAATTGATTTATCAATAAAAAATAAGAACTACTCATCAATAAGGTACATTTGACAATTGATATCTTCTATAAATGGGGCATATTCTGATTTTATCTTTTTGTTTTTTTACCAGGATCACCATTGAGCTTAAATATAAAATGGATATACAAATAAATGAATGAAAATTTTTACTATTACCAATAATTACATTTCACTGTCAAAATGTTATAAACTTAACATTTTATAGGGTTTTTTTTTTATTTAATCCAGTCATTAAAAAAAAAAAAAATAAAAAATTATTTAAGTCGATAATTTTGATACAAAATTTGAATTATCGTTCAATGTAACTTAAAATAAAGATTTGGAGCCACTATTTTTATTCAATAAAAATATAGTTTAACTTAAAAAAATTGATGCATGTTTACTTTTGGTTTGTATCTTTCACTGGTTTTTCATCAATTACTCGTTTACTGATTATGTTACTTTTGGTAATGGGTTTGGATTTAATGAAAATTTCTTTTTCCACTTTTTTGTTTCTCCAAACATCTTCTTTTTCCTGTTTTCTGATAAATACTTTTTTACGACGTTCATCTCTTTGATTAACTCGTACACGTTGCCTATCATTCTGCTTTGCTAAATATTCAAGTAGTGGTGTACTCAAATCTTGTTCTTGAGATTTATCTAAGAAAGTAAAATTATTAAATATATCGCATTGTTTAATAAATACATATAAGCATCAAACTATATTTTTACTTTACCTTCAACAGATTCAAAAAAGTGTTGAGTAGTTTTTAACGTAGTGTCTATAGTCTTCTGTTCAAAATTACGTTTAAACTCTAAGAACACCGGGTTCTCGTGTATTTTACCCCAATTTGCATCTTTATCTAATTTCTTTTTTGGTATTCTTTGGTAAGGTGCTAGTTCAACAGTAGCTGGATACTCGTCACCTTCAAAAGTATTAAAAGATAACAATTCTATCACTTAAAATAAAAAAAAAAACATTTATTACCAGTGTCATCAACAAATACATAACCATCGAATTTGTCAGTAAACATATACATATCATCTTCTTTAAGAAAATTGATATAAACCCTTGAATGATGGAATGGCACTGCATTTGGATCACCAGGTATAAAATACATATAATTGAATTCAGGCAGAGGAGACACCTCATTGAGAAATCTTTCTTCGGTCATTGTTGGGGGCAATCTCCGAACAACTATCTTTATAGAAAATCATGGTTATTATTTTGAATGACATAATATATTACATAATATATAAATACTCTTAACATTTGATGTTTATTATCAAACATATTATTAGTTGTTTAAACAAACGTAAAGTCATAACAGTATTTCTTTGTAATTACTGAAGTCCTAAAAAGTACTATATGTAAATAATTTATGTTAAATGTTTTAAGAACAATTTTTAAATATTTGTTACAAATAAGGTCAAAAAGTCAAGGAGAAACTTAAATTTTAGGTACAGCATGAACTCATGACAAATTAATTTTTAATTTATTTAAACTAAAGACAGCTTAAATCTATAGTTGCTTTATATCATATTGCAATAAAAATAGTTTAATGCAACTAATTTGTTGTGAAGTTTTTTTAAATTTTTATGAAATAAATATTTTACTTAATATTAAACTTATACACAAATAATACTGAATGTAAGGAGATATAATTTATTGGAGCCAATGTCCTAAAATTAATGGCCATAAATTAAAAATAGGTTTTGGTGTAGGAAAGACATTTTCTTTTATATTTGTCTACACAATAACACTCAAAATATTATAACCACCACACAGTATAAATAGCTTATATTGTGTAGGATAAATTTATGGTAAAAATTAATTAATATTAATGTTTAATTTAAATCTGACTAAATAACATAGTCAATATTTTCATTGAAGAAAGCAACATATCGAGTACTTAAATTTTAGTGATTATTAATAAATTGTAATGCCCATATACAAGAATAAAATAATTATTTTTTTTTCCACTGTTTTTCGTTCATCTTTAGATTTCTGCCTGTCCAACGCTTTAAACAGTGACAACAAAAAGTCATCAACTTTTTCAGGTGGTTTTATAGCTTCAGTATTTTCTGAAATATTTAATGGAGAAAATTATTAACAATAAATCAAGTGAACATATTCATAAGTATGTATAACTTACCTTTTATCATTTTTGAATTTTGATCATTTCTTTCAATAATAAGGAAATATAAAAACAACGTACTACAAAGTACGAATTCTTAATTTTAGTAATATTATTGATGTAATTATTGATGTAATGAATACAATATATGTAAACTGATGTGTACTAAACAAATACAATGCGCACAGTATAATAATTAATAATGATAATCATAGTCGTAAGCATAGAGTAATAATACTAAGTAAGTCGATATTAGGATTTTTATTTTTCATATTATTATGTAAATAAATTGTCCACTTTCATATGATATTGTTATCAAGAAACAATATTTATTACCAGAAAGTATGAACACAGTTATCACGGTTAAGTGTATGGTATGAACCAAAGTGTATCGATAAGGTGTCATACTCGAACACGGTTTAAAATTAAATCAGTTAAATCATCTTAAATAAGTTAAACTAATTTAAGATAGTAATTTAGTGCAGTTTAATAAAAAAAAAAAATAAATTTTTATGAGTTAGCAATAAATATTAAAATATAATGTAAATATTCAAAGTGTTGTGAAAAAAAATACTAAGTATTAAATATTTAAAAACAAAAATTAAATTTTGTTGATGATTTTTATGTTTGTTTCTTATTAAATTTCTTAAAAACATTTTTAAATAACAAAAACGTATAATTTGTGTATAAATATTAATAATGAAAATAATATTCAAATATTACTATCTGCCCATCGATAATAACGTCTAGTATGAAATGTAAAATGGTAAATTAAATATTATACAGGTACCTAGGGATTTTATTATTATTTTTAAATTCTCTTTCTCTCTCAATAATATTGTATTAAAAAATTATTATTACTATTTTTATTATATATATATATATTTATTATTTTATATAACTGATAAGTTGTACTTCTATATAATACTAAATAAGGACAATAAGGTACTTCGTATGATAACTATTGCAAACTATGAAGCTAGAATTGCTGCAGCTGATTAAACAGCCGCCATGTTTTCTGTTGGCAAAACATTATATTCGTTATACAGAATGTATTAGGAATAAGGCTGAATGATGTTTTAAATGGTAAATAAAATAATAATAATTCTATAAAAATGCTTGAATATTAATTTGTATTAAAAAAAAAAAAAAAAAACAATTAATTATTTAACATCAAAACATCAATTAATAGGTATCAAATATACTATAATATATAATATTATTTTAAATATATTAACAATAAAAATTAAAAATTTTGTTGATTTTTAAGTTTTAATTTGTAAATTATTAATTTAAAAAAAATCTGCACTACCTACTTAGAATACATCAAATACATCAAATAGGTACTTATCTTGATATATATTTATTTTGTGCCATAAATTAAAATAAAAGATAATATTAATTATTAAATAAAAAAACTTAGTTAACAGACGGCGTTTATTAACAACCATGACATTTTTTGTAACCTAGCAACAAAATTCAAATGAATTTTCAAATATTCTTTAAAAAAGATTATCACCAAATTTAAATTATAACTAGGGTTGCGATTTAAATGTAATAAAAACAAAATATATGTAATTTAAATGGCTAAAATATGTAATATAAAATAAAAAATGTGTAATAAGAAAAATTTTAAAAGATATTGACGTGTTAAATTAAAATACAATTCATTCTTAATTAATTTAAAGTGAAACAATGACAAACCATGTATTGATTTAAATTTTCAAAATTTAAAAGGCTGTAATATGTTTGGACACAAAACGATATTTTTACCTGAGATTCGGTAGAACGATTGGGAACACACAATTCAGGTACCTACACTTTTTTTTCTGTTGTACTTCGTTCAGTTACGTACTCAACACCTCTTGAAAATAATAGATGATTAATAAATAATAATATTGATAAAGGTATTATTGTTAGTTATATCATTGATTATAGAATATTCTATAAGAAAATCGTATTTTGATTCTTCAAAGCATAATTTTCTAATAGGAAAATTATAAAGATAATAATTAAGAAAAGATAATCATTATATTTATGAAAAACTCAATAAAAATTTTACTGTCTTTATTAATTTAAACTCTTCATAAAATTGAGTTTATATTAAGAAAACTTTAATTTTATTGAATATAAGTTAAGATAAAAATGGCAAAAGGTATAATGTAAACTCCATACGTTTTTGTTTCAACTGCTCAGTGCTCACATTCCTTGTGCCTATCACATTAAATACGTTGACATCTATTGCGATGATATATACTAATGAAGTAATACAAAACTTAGAATATTTACAAATTGTAATATATCATTTTAGCTTACATACATGACATAACCATATATTTTTGCATTATTAAGTAGAACGATTATTTATTATGATTTTTACTATGATTTAATGTTGAATGAACGATATGATATGATAATATTATACTATAATCTTTTTACGAACATATTCAATTTACCTGTTTTTCTGGCGGAGTTTACAGTAAAAAGATACTTGTAATGAGGGTTTACATGCGCCCTTTTCTAGTAATACGCTAAATAATAATTACCTTTACAAACTTATTTAATAGTATTCACTGACCTATGGTTTTTGTACCTTTTATTTTGTGCATTTGATTTCAAGTGCACGAATTTTAAAAATATTTCAAATTCAACATACATAAAACTATTTAGTAATAATTAGTTAGGTATTTACAGTTATTTGCTAGAAAAGTTATTTTAATTGTTATTTATAGGAAGTTACTAATAGTTTATTGAATATATTAATATAATAATTTAATAAAGGAAATTATTTTAGAATTTGGTGACTTATCACTGTAAAATAGTGTATTATTTAATTTTCGTGATAAATTGTTTAATACAAAAATTTTCAATGAAAACGATGTAATACGAAATACACATGAGTATTTATTATTATCTTTTAAAATAAAACTCAATAATTTTTTTTGTTTAGGATCACTTTAAAACTTTGTTTTATAATTATTTTTAATTTATCAATTCCGGTAGATTGAACACATTTTCTCGGAATCATTGAATATAATATAAGTATAAATATGATTCAAATATTTAGAAAGAAAATCAATAATTTTAGTTAAGCTCGATTTAATTATTCCATTTAAAAATAAATTGTGCTAATGATGTATTTTAGACCTCCTCGCGTGTCTCCTGAGTAACTCTAATAGGTTTTAAAATAAAGTGTCAAAGTATAAAGTAAAATTTGCACCTAAACGTTGGTATCCAAATGTAGTATTATTTTAAAATATTTTGTTACCCAAACATTGTATTGATTTTTAACGGTCTG